GAGCATGAAGATTTTCCCTCCCTAGAGTTCCAGGGACACCACCTGCCTCTCTAGGTATTTCTGAGCAAAGATGCTGCAGAACTTCATTGGGGTTGGGTGTTCTTCACCCTTTGATGTTCAAAGTACTGGGAGTAAGTGCCTCAGCATAAAAATAGCCATGCTGGTGCTACACAATTACTGTTCCAGCATAACTGTTGAAGATAATATTTTGATAAAATGCAGTTACAATTTTTTAGGCTTCAGGGCCATCCATAATCAATGAAAAGAAATGGGCCCCAGTAGAATGCCTGTTCTGAGAACCTACTTCAGGATGACATGAATCCTGACCTAGAACAAGCAGGTCAGTCCTATCCTTGCTCATTATAAATTTAAGCATGCTTTATTTGTACCTGATCAATTCCTATTACTGCTAAGACTTAGCTTTCATGCTTGCCTCTTTTTCTACACACAGCAAGCCCTGATTGAGTAAATCACCTGTGACTGATCACCCCCAGACCCCAGTGAGGTTAGAGCCATCTTATGGATACTGCTTGGTGCATTTTCTTCTGAACAGGGAGTAGCATCATTCTGCACTTCAACCCATCGTTCTGCAGTTGAAGCTGTGCCTCATTCTGCAGCTCAACAGAGGCTGTGAGAACCCTCAGGAATAGGGCTTTCTCTCTTAGGCTTGTTTTTGGCCAAGAGTGAAACTGTCCTACCAAAACACTAACAGTCTGCTAGGTGAATTGAATAAATCATCTATACTAGGCCTATAATCTCAAATAACCAGGACAGACTCTTATCCTGCAAGTAATTATGTGTCAATAATTCTTCTCATCTGCTTAAGGTATATTGCTGACCATGAAACTATTCCTGTGCAGTCTACAGGAAGCATACAGAGGCATGTCCTGATTGCACTGGGCTCTGTTGGTGTCCAGGCATTCTATGGGCTGGATTCTGGTCTCATTTTTATAGGCAGATAATCTGAGTCCCACCAAAACAGCTCGAGGGCAAAGCTCTAAGCCAACTATATTCTGAACATTTGGAGCACGTTGCTGAATACATTTTTTGGAGCCACTCACTGGTTTCTCTTTATTCTGAAAAATCCAAAATTAAGCAACATTATGCCCCTCTTGCTCTGTCTTGGGTCGAAGATCTCCTGTGTTTAAGGTTGGCTCACTCAGATGAATAGTTACATGTAGGATTCTCGTGTTGTATGATTGTGCAAAAAGATTAATGTCTAAATGAATCCTTAGAGCCAAATACCCCCCAAATCTGGAAAAACTGTACTTCAGCTGACCAACAGTCATTGAAATGTCCTGGAACAAAAAAAAGAAAACAAAAATGAAAGCAGGAAGTACTGAGATGAGCTTAGGATTTGGAGTAGCACTGATGATTCAGGCTTTTGGTTTCGCCTCGAGCCTGCACTGCACTGGATTGCCTATGTGCTAGAATAAGGGTGGTTGTATGAGCTCCAAGTTCATTTAAGCTTTTCTGCTTTTTACTGTTACTCACTTTAGTGCACATCTCTCCTCCCAGACCTGAAAAAGGATTAAAATGCCAGAAAGGAGACATATCGCTCAGCAATTCTAATCACATACCAGAAATCTCAAGACACACGGTTCTCACAAGATTTTCTACCCTTTGTAGGCCATAAAAGGCTCAGATAACCTTCTAATGTCCAATCTGATCTCTTTAGTCATTTAAAAATTGTTTTTTTTTTACTGAGAAACTAAGCTAGATTCCTACTGCAGTTATCGCATTCGATCAATCCAATTTCCCCCCAGTTTCAGAATTTGTTTTTGTATTCCTTCATTAAGACAGAGAAACAGAAGCCTTCATTCCAAACCAGATTCTGACATGCAAAACAAGGCTCTAACTAGTTGTAAAACAAAAAGAAAAAAGAGAAAAAGAAGGTTTTGCAGGGAAGCATTTTCATACACACGATTTGATTTGAGGTTGTCATCTGCATTTGCTGTCCTTCACTCCTTCATGTTCACATTTCAGAAATACTGGAGGGAAGCAGTTCTGTCACTGTAGATAGAAGAGTATACTGACCTGTTTGGCCTCCATGTATCATCTAAACTACAAACAGACAAATTGCATTTTGCATTCTGTGTTACCTTCACCACTGTGAAAGTGGATTTTGAGTGAAGGAAGTGATTGATTTGCTTTCAGTGGCATTTCTGGGAATTCCAGTCTTAGTAATTAAGTACCTCTGATGCATGTTCTCTGAAAGGCAAGGCAGTCTGCTAGAAATAAACCATGAGTTGAACTGCCACGTTGTTAGTGGCAATATGATAGCTACTTCATGTCGTATTGATCAGGTTTTTGAGTAAGTCTTTCCATCTCGGCCTTGCTGAAGAAAGCGATGCATTCCAAACTCACAGCCTTTTCTTCTCCCTGAATTGTTGCATACTTAAATTACAGTTGATATTATTTATCCACCCTGTTTATAGAGGGATGATACATTTCGGACACAGACTCTGGGCACAGACCGATTTTTCAGTGCTGGTTTGTACAGCACCTAACACATAGTCTCCTAAGCTACTAGAGATAATAAATGTTGCAAGATAATGTCATGCCACAAAGGGAGATGCTGTTACCATGCAGTGAGTCTGCAGCTTTCAGTCTGGGGCTACTGAAGGCTGATCAAATGGGATCCACTCTGCAAGTGAAGAACTTCTGCCAGTGCACAGAACCCATCCCACTGTCTGTGTTTGAATCAGTCCCACACCTCTACCATGTGAAACTTTCAACCATTTCCTTCTATGATGTAACAGGGTGCACCCACATAAGCAGGCAGATACTGCATTAAAATCCACATCCACTGCAATCTTGGATCCAGAGGGGAAAAATAATAGCCGTTTTCTAAAGGTCTTCTTTTCTCCTATTTAGGGGTGACTTTTAATTTCAGTCATCTGAGCTGAATATTTTGAGAAAAGAAGTTAAAAAAAAACAACACAACAGGAGAGGAGAAGGAGGGATGCGAAAATATTTTGGGACAAACGTCCGTTGTGGGCTGCGGTGCAGTTTGTATGCGGAAACACTGGCATCTAGTGGTCAGTTCTTCACATGAGAGGTGACAATGTTACCAGGAGCAGTGAATGTGGAACAGGCAGTGATTAAAGCTAATGGCACCTCTATCTTTCTTAGGTGAAAGATCTTCCCAAGTCTTGCAGTTCTTTTCTGTAAAAGCATTTGAAAATCGGCTGTTCTGCCACCTTTCCCATCTCCAGCATACAGCTTGCAGAACACTTCTTTATTTTTCTTTATATTAAGCCCTCTATGGCTGTCCTGTTCAGTTCTGTTGGCCTACTGTTCCACAGATCATCAAAAATCTTCACCCAGTGGGAAAGCTAATGGTTTGCATGCATGTATGGTTTGCATGCATGTACTGAAGCCTATCGTTTTCCTCTAGATTTTAGACATGGGCAAAAATAAACCCCTAACTGCTCCCAGAATGTACTTGTTTTGTTCAACTTCAGATGTCTGTGAGCAGAGCGTGCCTCTAAAGGAAATATCTGTATAGAGGAAGAGAACAAAATCAAAGTGGAGCAGCCATGCTGAAGGACTTTGGAAAAAGCTTAATTACATCATTTCTGTAGATAGCACTAAATATAATGTTTCTGCAGTGTTCACCTTTTATGCTGAAAAAGGTAAGAGTTTTTTCAGGGTCTAAAAAGCCTGAAGTACTCATATTCTTGTCTTCTTTCTCTTTAGACTGCAGTGTTTGCCAGCGCTGAGCAAACTTCCAATACTCTGCTGTACTCTGCTGGCCCTCCTCTTCTTTGGCACTCTCTCAGCTGGGTTAAAGGGTGCTTCTCTGTTTTACTTGCCGGGCACAAAAATTATTTTGTATGAATGGAAGACGTGGCTTCTTGAATCAGTTTGCATTAGGATTAGCTCTGTGTTACTGAGGTAGACCTAGCAGCTCCCACTTAACCCCACTAATTATCTAACCTGTGACTGGATGTAAGTAAGTAGGAGTCCTGTTATTTCAGAGATGTACTTAAATTTCAGTGGGGGGAAATTGGCACAACTGGGATCACTGTGATTTTTTTAATTAAGCAAGAGAAATCAGAGCCAAGGTTTCATCCAGAGACATTAAGAGTATTATGAATGGAGGCAGTAGCAACCTCATTGCACTTTGTCACACTCCCAGATTTAATCTGTGATTCTATCTTGACTGCTGGGGACAGTAAGCCTTTGATGCTTTGAGATTTAAATTATTTCCATGGAGTCATCCAAGGGAGTCATCTTACTGGAAGGAAAGTGTATTAGCACTGTTGTGCTATTTGAGCCTAATAAATGCTCTGATGATGCAGTAATGTTATCTTCATCAGATTGCTTTTAATTTAGCTACCCGTCATTAGGGTCTCAGTGTGACTGCAGTGAAGCTAAGCTGTTAGCTGAGTCTGTCCATAACTAATTCTATTGCTGTTACAAATCATAACTGTTAGGTCAGAGCAGTTGAGACTTTTCTCATGGTGTTCAGCAGATATCATCTGTTTACCATCTAATTGTACAAGATATTCTGTACCAAGCCATGAGTTAGAAAGGCACACGGGCAGAAGGGGGATGGCTGGATACATGTGGCTGATCTGAGAATGAAAAGGAGTGGGAAAAGATTTGCTGTGAAACCACAGAGTGATTAGACTGCCCCTTCCCTCCCACCTGCTGAACATAGAAAGTCCTCACACTGAAATGCTTGCAATGCAAAAAGAAATCACTTTGCAATCCTGAGCCTCACTTCCAGTAATCTTTTTTAGCATATATTGTCAAAGCATAACAGAATCGTCTGAAGATGGATTTGAATTAAGCATTTATTATGAAACCATACACGAAGTGCTCATCAAGTGATTGAACATAGATCAGCGTTGCATAAATGTTGTGTCTTCATATGATGTTATTTAAGCTACAAAACTACAATTAACATTTCCTCCAAAGTCCATTTAAGTTCCATTTACTTCAGACAGTCTAAAGCTGTCCTCTTTTCTAAGAGGACATCCTCTAGCATCCTCTAGACTCATTAGTGATTTATTCTTGCCTGTAGCTCAGAACTTGGAGGAAAGTCTTTATTTATTCATGCATGCAGTCACTATTTCCTTTACAGGTGGAAAATGTATATTGGTCTATAATATGGCTGGCTACCTATGTTTGGAAGTTTTGCCATAGCACAAGGATTGTAATTATTGCAAAGAGATTCAGCTCCACAAGGAGCACACAGCCAATGCAGTAATAATCTTGTCCTCAGCACAGTCACACTATGTATCTTCCACAGCCATGAAGAGATCTGCAGGGAAAAAGAAGGAAAATATACTTAAAACACATGGAGAAATTGGCCAGAATAATAACATACAAAAGGCTTCAAATCTTTTAAGCACTTTTCTAACATTAATTCTTCACCTCACTGTGAGCAGGATAGAAGTGAGCCAGCTTTCAGCTGTGTCTCAGCTGGAAAGGCTTTTTGAAATCTGCCCACTTACCTCCCAGGGCTCAGGTCTGGGAATCCTGTGGTTTTGTTTTTAAATAAGTTGCAGACCTTTGGCTTACTGTGGATTAGCATAGCTCCATTGAAGTCTGCCCCAGTATCCAGGTTTTCAAAGGCATTTAGATGCACACAGGTACAGATAGATGCCTAGCATAATTTTAAGCAGATGAACTTTCTAACTTTCAAATCGCACCAGCCCTGACAGATGTCATCTTTGTATTTTACTGCTTAAATGCTTTTGAAGGTATGCTCCTGAATCTGCAGTTTTTATGGTAAGAAGTTGATTGTGAGTGATACAGCATTGTCATTATGGTGGGAACAAGCTTATCCCAGCTGAGAAATCGCATGTCTGTTTGAAGAATGTAAGCTGGAAGGCTTATCCTGTTATATAGAGATATATAGATACACAGATATACGAATATCTGTATGTACATATACAGATATACAGGATATACAGATGTAGGTGTCTTCTCTTTCAGTGTCACAAACAGCCACTAAGAATTAGAAAAGTTTAGGATTAATCCTTATACTTTATAAGTTTATATCTGTCTTCCCCCAAAACATCTTCAGTTTGTGAAGTTTGTGTATCTGCAGACAAAACACACAAGGAAAAAGGAAAGCATGACTGCAAAACAACCCCAGTGTTCTGTTGGGATGTGGCATATTGTTACCAGTTGGATTATGAGTAATGCTTACTTTCTGGGCTGTGCTTCAGACTATATTTTCCCACTGAACATTATGATGTATATGATAAGCGGAGGCAAGAAAGAAAATATTCTGTCTATTACACTGATGTTGAAAATCACAAACAGAACTAATAACCCATGCAAATGCTCTGTGTTAATGCTTACCAGCACGTGTACTAAGCAGAAAGTTCCATTTAAAAAATCAGCACTTAGCAAATTGCTGCAGCTGAGGTGCTGCAGAACAGCCTCCGCTCCTAGCAGGTCAGACTGCATCTCAAATACCTCAGGGTGCAGACTGAGGTTCATCCTGCCACAGCCCTTACTGAAAGTTAAGTGAGTACGAGACTTTAAACAGACGCACTGGAAATGGAGCACAAGCAGACAGGAAAGAAACAGGAGCAATATCAAGCAAAGTTAATAAGCATGTTATGCAGTTACCAACTTATATTCATACAGCAGTGTATAATCAAATGGTTTACTAACTTGAACAGAACTACAGGGACACAGTTGGTGCCACTGCCCTGTTCCACTGCCAGACACATTTCAGCACAAAGTGCCTCTCAAGCCACTAGTTCTTTCCCTCCTCTTCTGACTCGTGGCTCTACTTTTTATTCTAAATAGGAAATATGCACTGTAAAAGAAATGGATACATACCAGTCACAGGGTAGGCGACACCATTAGATTGGATGGACTAAATCCCGGTTGCAGTGCGGCAAGCAGTGTGGGTTCAACCAGTGTTCCAGGAACTGCTCTTCTGATCTCTGCTCCAAGCGCTGGAGATAAAGCATGTGCTCCTACTTGAAGACAAGAAGGCGTAATTTAATTATGCAACCACTCAGACCTGATGTCAGGCCAATGAACCAGGTCAATTTTACAGCTTGCACAAGGACAATTAACTTACCTCTGAAAATTATCAAATGTAATGAAATGGGATTTCTAGTCAGTTTGTTGTAACGCAGCAATACTTCATGATAGGTATCAGCCAGACTAGCAAAGGTGTTGGGCAAGAATTTTGTAAAAATATTCATAATTAAAGAATTCTGCGTACATGTATTTTATTGGCATATCCACACAAAAGCCTCTTTGGTCCTTGGGTTACAAAAGGAATCTCAGAGACAGGCTTGTTGTAGCCTCTTTTGACAATCGATTTGATCAGATCTGTGGCAGTACCCTGCAGGGTTCCAGTAACCACTTTGCATCAGTGCTGACTGCTGGTGTGTAAAATATAAATAATACGAATTAGAGGGTTTGCAACAAGTTGTCGAACTGAATGAGTCATGTGCCAAAAACTCAACCTCCGTCAGGAAGAAAGTTTGCTTTTAAACAGTTACAGTGCTAATGCATGTGGGCTTACAAGACTAGGGAGAGAGAGGGATTTTTTCAGACAGATAGCCCATTGCTCAGCACACTGGGTAATGCAGCAACTGAAGCTGTAGCATAAACTCTCTGCACAAGCCAAGCATTCCTGCTGTTATCCAGTTCTCCGCTTTCTGAGCTGCCCAGAGGGCGGTGCAGGATGGCAGCAGGAAGCAGGAGCATCCTGCCTCTCGCTGTGCTCTGTGCTCCTCACAGTGCAAAGTGCCCTGGCTCCAGTCCCTCAGTGGGGCTGCGTCATGGACTTGCAGAGAACAGGACTGTATGACTGGAAAGATTCTACATGATCGAAAACAGCGCCTTGGTTAAAGTAAGACTAAAGTGTGTTGATAACATAAACGACATTTTAAAATAATCAAAGATGGCAGATCTCGCTGTCTGTAACTGGATGGCTTTTTTTAGTAAAACAGCACTGTGGAAGTCAAACTGTGTCACAAAGAATTGCAAATTAAATTCCTCAGCTCAGCATGAGCTGGCCTCAACAAACAGCTTTTGCTTAAAAAGGCTGAACTGAGGCAGGTTCATCTCAGCATTAATTTCATTCCGCTACAAAGAATCCATACAAAATCAATTTTTCTCTTTGAGTCTGGGGTAGAATTGTGCACAGGGATACAGCAGCCGTGCCCCTTCATGCACAACTGAAAATCTCCACGTTCCACGTGGGAGGAGGGATGGATTTTTTTATTGAAGGATATTTTCTTTTCTACTGAAAACCTTGACTTTCAGTGAGCAAAACAAAAACCCTTACATTTGGGTTTTCTTACAGAGAAGCGTTTGCAAAGTGGCCAGGGCAGAGCAGCAGAGATCAGTAATCAAATGCTTCTCTAGCCCTAGCTCATTTCACTTCCTGTAACACAGAGTTTAACTCGATCTCACTCTCCTGCTGTTTGATTTTATATTTAAGATATTTACTACATAATGTATATATAATCATGGTGTTATATGGAGCATTAGCGTGGTTGGGATGTGTTCCCACCAATCGTCAACAACTGCAAAGCACCTTCAACAACAGCATGGAAACCAGCCCAACCCTGAAGCGTGCACCCTTTGGTTTCTTGGTGCTGTCGTACATTCGTAATTGTTCAAGATTGTTAACAAGCATGGTGCAGTATTTTTGTGACAGCTTTGGTTTGTTGTGGCTGTCAGAGTTGACAAATAAGTGTGTGTGTTGGAAGTGGTGTGTGGTCAGGACTGCCAGGTGGATTCTTTTTGGCTGGGATACAATAAGCATTAGAAAGAGAAAACCACTAGCTGTCTCCACGAGCCTGGCACGCATTGAGCTCAGCCTTACAAGGTAAGTAGTGCTCTTTGTGCCTATGGAGTTCAGAAGTGTCTGGCACCTTGCTAAACTGAGCCCCTGTACTCCTCATATATGCACAATCTATTGTGTTCTTTCTGGATTCTGTGGCTTTTGCCTCTTCAGAGCCATATAATTTTAGCTTGGCTTATTTACCTTGGAACAGAGTAGGTACTAATTTTAAAATACCTTAAGTAATACTCAAGAAGTGCAGAACTGTATGTTAGATCTTCTTGAAGCATGCAAAACAGAAGGTTCCTAATTCTTTCATGTTCCTTTTGTTGTAATTTGGGTTAGAGATCAATAAATGTAAATATTACACACGAAAAGAATGCTGCTGCATTAAGCTAGCAGCTGAAAATCTCTACAATGTCATATACTGCTGTAGCAGTCATAAAAAAGCAAATGAAAGTAAGTGAATTAAAAGCTGGTGCAGAGCTGCCTCAACCTCCACACTGACCACTGACACCTGCACCTCCTTTCTGCCTTGAGTGCAGAATGTGCTGGAAGCAGAAGACATTTCCTGTTATTTCATTTCTCAGGAACAACCTGATGAACTCCACATTTCTATAAATGAAAAGCCACTTCTTCTCAATAATCTAACCCGCATTTGTGATACTTTATTTCTGCACTGTACATGTCCTGAGCAGTGTTCAGCACTTACAAAATGCTACCTGACACAAACTGAAGGAATGCAACAGAGTTTTTTAATACTTCACAGAAGAACTCAGCTGCTTAAGTAGGTGATATCCATAACTTACTCTCTGGAATTTTACCTGTACAGATCTAATATTAAGCACTCCCCCCTCCCTATTTTTTTTTGTTAATAAATGCAATGTAAAAGTAAATGCCATAAATCACCCTCATTGGCTCATCAGGGAAACCAGCTTTTCTTTGTCTGTCTTCACGACGAGTTCTCAGAATCTGTTTGGCTTCTTTCTCAGCCAAAATTGGTGAAGCGTCTACGGATGGAAAAGCAGCAGCTAGTTATGAAATTACCATGAAGTTAATGTTTTATCTGTCAGTTGTAAGAAGAAATGTCTCCAAACTTTATTTTTGTCTATATACAAAGTGTTCTTTCATTACAGCCCCTTCCCAGGGGATACTGCATTCCAGAAGATACAAGTGGAATTTTAAACCATTTTTATACTTGTGCTTTCTATAGTCTGGTCCTACCAGCATGTAACAAATCCTACATATTAATGTTACTGCCTAAATTGAACAAATACAACAGCACCATCTAATCACTAATGTTAGTAACTCTTCCGATTCTTTTCTGTTTCGCTTTACTTTTCAAGATTATTTCTCTGTGTAAAGCAAAGGAGAGTTTGGTGAAATAATATTAAAATTATAAGCTCGTAAAATAGTGTTTTGGTTTCAGAATAAATGACTGCAGTGTGCACGCAGAGAGTAAAACATCTGATACAATAGCTCACTTGTTCCAAGTCAGATCATGGAACGCCTGCAATGTATAAAAAGTTAAGTATTAAAACTGAAATATGAAGATCCTAAAATACAAAGCACTAATATTATGACAATGTGTTCTGCATCTCTTACTCCGTAATCACATCCATGCACGGGTTTATTTTATATAGACTCCTACCTGCAAAGGCGGTCATGAGGGCCAGGAGGAAGATAAACACAAGCAACTGCTTCATTCTGATTCTGCTTTCTCTCAGCCTGTTCCAGTCTGAGCAGTGCTGACGGAGGCACGAGCCTATTTGAAGTAGCTACGTCAGTCACAAATGTTTGTTGATGCTTTAACTAATGTGACCTACAGTACTATTTTGAAGACATCTGGAGCGAAGCTTTGAATATGGCTATTCTCTGCTCGAACATTCTCAGCATAGCTCTGCTCCTGAGGGGAGGAAAACAGAAGGCCATTTTTCCACTTGAGCCTTCTGAGCTTTGCAGGGTGTTTTAATTGTGTGAAAATAGGCCTGCTTTCCACCCAGCACAGCAATGGGCTCAGCTGCCTGAGAAAAATGAGCGCTTTGCTGAAAGCCAAACTGAATGGTTAAAAGCTCCTGTCTCTAACACAGAGGAATCGATTCACCTGGTTTAACTCTCAGCAGGACAAACACAAAGCAGAAATGTGTATCGAGTTAATGGAACCACACAGCTGAAAACACAGAAAACTCTTCTCTTCCTCGGACAAGTTGCTTGAAAACGGGATGGTAAACGCCTTCACCATTTAGCAGAGCGGGAAGCGAGGACAGGACAGGACTTTAAGAAACGTGTTTCGTTCATAGGTGTCACGGGCCAAACACCGCCCAGCGGCACTGAGCCGGACTGCAGTCAGTTCCGTGTGGATGCGGTGGGAAGGCCGGATGATGAGTGCACTGCCCGGACTGCGCTCACAGCTGAACGTTTTGTTCTTGACTCGCAAAGAACTGCGGCTTCTAATGGCACCGACTGTCGGTTTTGAGAACTGCTACAGGGGAGCCTTCACAGCACAGCACAGCATAGCACTGCATTGCACTGCACTGTACAGCACAGCATAGCACTGCATTGCACTGCACTGTACAGCACAGCACTGCAGCAACGTTGCGCGGCCGCGAGGCTTCGAAACGCCGGGCACAGATCGCGCCTCGGCGCCGGCGGCAGCAGCCACTTTCCGGGCGGCGCCCGTTGCCCGGCAACCGCCGCGGCCATTTCCGCTTCCGCTTCGCGCCCCCCCACGGCCGCTGCGGGCCGGGCCGGCCGGGCTGGCAGCAGCGGAGCTCCTCGTCCCTGCCGGCGCCGAGGCCCCGCAGCCGGGTGGGTCGGATCGGAGGCGCTTAGAGCCGGCGAGGGGTCGGAAGATGCTTTCCGAAGCCGCCCGTCGTTTCCTCGCGGCGGGCAGCCGGCCCCAGCCTCGCCGTGCCGTCTCCTCGGGCGACGTGAGGGGGTAGGCGGGGAGGCCGCGCCGGCGGGGATGGCGGGAGCAGAGAGCGGGAGCGGAGCCTTCTCCATGTCGTCGGTCGTCGCGGACCGGAGCTTGGTGTTCTGGACGCTGTGCTCCGTCATCCTGCCCGTGCTGATCACCCTGTGGTGCAGCTTCCACCGCTCCCGGCGGCAGATGCTGATACGTGACATCTTTTACAAGAGCGAGCACGACTGGCACTACACGGACCTCTTCGGGCAGCCCTCCTACTGCTGCGTGTGCGCTCAGCACGTCCTCAGAGGCACTTTCTGCAGCTGCTGCGGGCTGCGCGTCTGCGAGGGATGCCTGAAGAAGGCCGACCAGCATTTCCTCTGCAAGGAAATCGTGATGAGGAGCGAAGGTGGAGCCCGCGGCTCTATGCCGCACCATTGGATCAGGGGCAACGTCCCGCTCTGCAGCCACTGCGTGGTGTGCAAGCAGCAGTGCGGCACGCAGCCCAAGCTCTGCGATTACAGGTACTGCGGTGGAGGCTGGCTTTCCGTGGGAAAGTGTGCTGCCGTTTCTGTGCTGTGTGTTGGAGCACGTTGCCACAAAAACTGTGTGGAAGAATCTATGACAAAATGAATTCTGGTCAATAATTTCACTCATATGTTAAGACGTTGCCTCTTGTGTCTGCTTGTTCTCTTAATTGCATTTCTCCATCATGATATGCTAGCTGCTATATAATTACATCTAGAAGACTAAGCCCAAGAGAGCTTGTGTTTTGAGGACAGGCATGAGGAAGTTCTGATTGTTTGTACGGTGTGATTATAGTAGTGGCACAGCACGTGTTTCAGATTGCCAAAAATGCCCGTGTAACTGCAAAATTGGCATCTGATCAGTGCAGCTGGAACAACCAACCCTACCGTAACTGTTTTGTTTTTCCCTTTTAGAAACACCCAGAATAAGCAAATAGGAAGGTTTTAAAAGCTGGTGTAATATAGTCCATTGTTACAGTTTGTGGCAATAATGATAAAGAAATTATAAGAAAACATTCAAGGGCGCATACTGCATCAGCAAGGGTGCTTTTAAAGTTATCAGCATGAGATGTTGGGCCAGGATAGAGAGCTGATAGTCCTCATCCTGTGAGCAGTGCAGAGTGTGACCTCTGCCTTCCCAAAGGATGTCAGCTGTCTGCTTTTCTTTACTCCTGTGTCATACTGTCAGTTTGGCAGAAAGTCAGCAGAATTCAGTCTAAACAGGCATACTGTCAGAAGTGAGATCTTGAGAGTGTGCCTAGCACAGTAGGAGAGCGTCGGGATTTGGGAATCAAAAGTCTGAGAGGGAGAAAACGCAGTGTCTTGATATTCACTGTCTACAGTGCAGGCAAATATCACTGCTGCTCTAGTTGTGTGCTGGGTTAAGCAGAAAGACTCCAAAAATAGCTTTCACAGCTGCTTAAACCCAGGCTTTGGATGTGGCAAGTGAGGATTAACGTTTTGCAGAGGCTGGCAGGAGGAGTTGCAGTATTCCCTCTTGTTCTACTCTGTTTTCCAGGATGGCTTCTAGAATAGGCCAAAAAGCTGAGCAGTTTTGCATAACGAAATCCAATGGGCCTTGCACAGTACTGTGCAACTGCAATGTTTTGGGCTTCAGACTTGAGAATATTACCACTATTAAGAAATACACTTAAAAGGCATTTAATGTAGCAGTAACATCTTAAATTAGTGAGCTGTACTGTAGTGTATGCTCAGGAAGGATGGATAGGAGCTCAGTTTTACATATGAGCTCTGAGTGTGACTTTATATTGCACTCACTGCAAGTGAATATTTGTAGCTCTGACTTTTGGAGTTAAAAGCATGTAATTAATTTAAAAGTAATTTAGTTCACAAAATTCAGACGTTTTTCTAAACATTCAGTGACATGATGAAGTTCTGTGTTTGTCTTTGTAGCCAATAGATGGTCGTTTCAAACTCTATAGACTGCACAGTGTTTTCTGTACTGGGTTTAGGGTATTACTTGTAGCAGTGCATGTGATGTGAGTGCTTTCCAGTCTCTCTAAAGTAAATGTACAACGTTTATATGCCAGTTACTTGAGGATGAATTCTCGTGGTTTTTGGTCTCTTCTCCAGGTGTGTGTGGTGTCAGTGCACTGTCCATGATGAATGCATGTTGGATTGTTTAAAGATTGAGGAGTGCACGTTTGGAGAATTCAGAGACCTGATTATTCCACCCTACTACCTGTCTACAATCAACCAGATGCGTAAAGACAGAAGAACTGATTATGAAAAGGTAATTGTCTGCTGCTTCCTTTTATATATATATTGTCTGTTTCTGCTTTGTAATAAAATCTGAAAATTTGGTAAAGGTGTGGGAAGAAGTGTCCTTACATCACAAGAACTGTTGCATACCAAAACTGTGTGTGAGAAACATCACTGCTTGAACAGTTCTGTGATGTTTTGTTACTTATCTAACTCTGCAGCGTTTGTTGTCCTGGACACCACAGAATGGAAATGTTCAGCCTTGGTGTGCTGAAAATACTTGTTCATTTTGATGACTTCCAGCTAACCAGCACTTAAACAGGACAGGTTTTGGAGCAAGACTTGAGACATTTTCAACCAGGCAGAATTAGTGCAAGTTACTTATTGTTGCCTTTTTGCAGGTGGTCCCTTACTGCAGAGAGCACTGGATCCCAGTCATCGTGCTGGCAAACACTCGTAGTGGGAACAACATGGGAGAGACTTTACTAGGAGAATTTAAAATTCTGCTGAACCCTGTTCAGGTAATTGCAGTGAGAAGCCTCTATAGTAAAATAAAAACAGAAATTAGAATCAACATCACTTTGCTTCCGTAATGGCAGTAAGATCTTGAGGGAGAGTAAAGGAAACGAATTCATGCAGTTTGTTGTGTTAGAAAGGTTTACAGGAAGACTGAAATGTGGGGCCTTCCCACCTCTGTGTTTGTTCTGGTTCTTCTAATGGTTGCACGTTTTCTGTGTAATGCACGCAGGCATTCTGATGACGAGTATCTGGCTCTCGAAGTAGTCTGCTAGTTCTTAGAAAATGAAATGTTTAAATCTTCATTTGAAATGTTGGTTTGTGTGTCTGCTTTCTCGTGGAATGGCGGTGCTGGCAGCCGTTGCTCTGTGCTGACACTTTCCCCTTACAGCACAGGATGTTGACGTGACGGCAGTGAGTTGTTCCTTGGATTTCCTGGCTGCACCTTCATATTCCTCTTTTGAAGTTCAAAAGAGTGCTTTGGAATACAGACTAATAGAAAACACTGCACCTTTGTTTTAAAGGCATCCCAGTAAGGCTTTAAAAAACAGACCTCTTTGTAGCTTGAATATCTTAAAATAACTTTCAACTGAAGTCTTTCATCTTCAGAAAATTGTAGTGTTTTTGGATACAGGATTTTCTTAGGACTTGGTCAGCTTGATTTATCAATGGCATTTATTGCTAGTGAAGCACCTGGAGCTATTTTGTGACCTTGGGAGACTGAATCCAGGTCATAAAAAGTCAAAACAGCTCATTTGCTTATGTGATATTATGGAGAATGTTTATTTTGTATTAGAATGAACATCTTGAAGTTGTTTATTTGTGAAGCAAATCCTGAGTCCCATTCTGTGAACTTACAGAACTTATTTTCTTTGTTCGAGGTTTTTGATTTAAGCAAAATTACACCTGCTAAAGCACTCCAACTCTGTTCCTTGCTGCCTTGCAATGCTGTCAGGGTTCTTGTCTGTGGTGGGGATGGTACAGTAGGCTGGGTCCTGGATGCCATCGATGAAATGAAGATAAAGGTATTGTACTTCAAATGAAAAGCTGTCTTATGGTGAGAAGTGCTGCAGCCTAATCTCTTACCTGCCTTTATCACAGACATCTTCCTGAATGAGCCTATAGAAAAATAATTGCAGAACTGCTTATGTGTACTGAGGACAAAAGTGCATTGTGTTATGAAGAAAAATGTATAAAAGCTTTGAATGTTAGAAGCTTATTTGAAAATTGCTACAGGATATTTTGTATGTTGCTCTTTTTCTTTGCCTGAAGAAATCATCATCTCTGCATCTGTTCAGGACACTTTGTGCATGTGACACTGCTGAACCTTACATAGTGGCTTTGTTTCTGGGGGCATGTAAATTGCTGTCCATAATTGAGTAGTATTATATATGCAAGGGTGTTCAGAACTGCCATCACTTCAGTCCTGTGAGAGCCTTTTTGTTTCATTGTGGTTGGCAGCCTTTGTGTTCTTGGTGTCACTCCCCAGAGGTGCACACAGTAACAGCAGTAGTGACTTACTGCAGCAGGTTGGGAAATGGGACAAGTAGTTCAGGCTTCCCTTTTTCCAGAACCAAAGCATCATTTTCCTGAGGGATTGTTCTGTTTGCTATTAATAATGCACTGTTTCTCTGCTGCGTTTGCATTTTCTTTTCTCCCCACCATGGCTTGACGTTGCCTTTATTTGCATTATCCTTACTGCAAGTGCTTCTGCTGGCCACCTGCTGTGCTCATAGTGGCAGCTGTGTCGCTCAGCACTGGGTAACAAACTGCTCTGAGGGTTAATGGTGCTTATGTAACTTGAACATTAGGGGAGAGAAGGTGGAAAATGAATGCTGAAAAGTAGCTAATGTGCACTGCTTCTGTGTCCTAGGGGCAAGAACGCTTTATCCCACAAGTTGCAATTTTACCTCTAGGAACAGGTAACGACCTGTCCAATACACTGGGCTGGGGTGCAGGTTATGCTGGAGAAGTTCCTGTGGAACAGATCCTACGAAATGTGATGGAGGCAGATGGAATCGTGCTGGACAGGTGGGTAGCAGTGGAAAGGTCAATTCTGTAGAACCAAATATTACCATAGGTCTATCCAATTAAAGCAGTGCATGTGAAATTCCTAAGTGGGTTAAGAAACTGCAGAATAACTGAGGTCCAAACTTAGCCTATGTTTAGTTGTTCTGCATTGCTTACCTCCTTTATGATGCAATGCAATTAAATGCGAGTCTTTTGAGATCCTTAGCTGCTCTGATACTGAGAGTAGTTTCTTTGTCACAAGTCTAAATAATAGCTTTGTTTTTCAGATGGAAAGTTCAAGTGACAAGCAAAGGATACTACAACTTAAGGAAGCCAAAGGTATGGCTTGCAATTATAAGCACGGATTCTGTGGAATACCTGTACAGTTATATTTTCTGGTTACCTACTTCCCATTAACTGTGGTGGCTTTTAATTTCTAATTAATTATACTTGATAAGATCATAAATAGAAATCTTCTCTTACAGGTATTCACAATGAACAACTACTTTTCTATAGGACCTGATGCTCTTATGGCTCTGAATTTCCATGCCCATCGTGAGAAGACTCCCTCTCTGTTTTCCAGCAGAATTATTAATAAGGTGTGTTGAGTAAAATGGCACTTTCCTCTTGTCATTTCTGACTTGTTTTTTCCCCCTCCTGTGACGTAAGTTCTTCTAATTAAATATTGTATATTAATTTCTGTTCAGCTGATTTTCAGTCTTTAGAGCTCTCATTCTGAAAGAAAATGTGTCTTCAGGCATTAGTGAACCGTACTGGTGCAGTCTCTGCACAGCTGTCCTGTTGTGCAGGTGTGTTAGGTGTGCATGTTAGATGATAAGGTTTGGTCCTGACAGCATGACATTTACAGTAGGCTTCATATGTGTTGCCTTTTTCTAACAGTGTTTTCTGTTTCCCCCTTGTTTTTTGCAGGCCGTTTATTTTTTTTATGGAACCAAAGACTGCTTAGTACAGGAATGTAAAGATCTTAACAAGAAAGTTGAGGTAAGTTTTTTAACTTCCTTATTTACTAGGCAAATAGTGGAGTATAAAAATTTACCTTACAAAAGGAAAGGGAAAAAGCTTTGCAGTTTACTCTGTAGGGACACTTGTGTAAGGACAGCTCTGGGCTGTGTGGAGTTTTCCTGATGCTCAGGTTCCTTTGCTGTCTGCAACTTGCTGCATGGAATTCATGCCTTTGAGCTTACAGAGAATTCCTGAAATTTTTTCAGCTCTTGGCTCAGGTCTCAGTTCAGCTGCAGAGGCTGAGTTAAAATCTGCACCAGAGACTCACATGAATAAGGTTTTTTTGTGTGTTCTCATTTTGTTTGTTTTGTGTTTTCTATTAACAGGAATTGATTACAATTACAAAGCACAACGTACTGATCTTGTCGTAAAATCAGAAGTCTTTTTTTTTTTAAGTATGAGAAGAAAATGCATCCTATTTGTCCAGGGTCTGTTTAGCTCACAGGCTGTTTTTTTTTTTTCTTGCTTCAAGCATAAGTCTATTAAATGGATAAAGAGAATAATTAGCATTTCTTGCAGTTCTGAATTCACTATGTGATAATTAACTTCTGTTTCTCTTTTAAAGCTAGAGTTGGATGGTGAGAGAATCGAGTTACCCAATTTGGAAGGCATCATTGTCCTGAACATTGGATACTGGGGAGGTGGCTGTAGGCTCTGGGAAGGAATGGGTGATGAACCTTATCCCTTGGCAAGGTACACAAATAAATACATTCCATAGTTCCCTTAAAACGCCCATGAGGCTAAGCTTCCAAAAATTATTTGGACAAAGTTCTGTGCCAAAAAAAGCTATTTTTTTTTTCTCTGGATTAGTAATGGACTAAAATGACTGAAAGATAGAAGACTTACAAATTTCTAGGACAGAAATCCATCAAGGGCTTTAAACAGGCACTGTAAGTCTCAAAATGCAACATACCTGTAATTGCCAGTAGCCAGGTAGGGAATACCAGGAGTATAGCTCAGTATTTGACCTGCTTTTGTACAGCTTCCCTTGCTGTTCAGTGTGACCTACTGTTCAGGAGAAATAAATAATTGTAACGTTTATCTTCTCCATGGTAACAACAATGGAAGACTGTAGTGTTTGGATGTGTGCTCTAGAGCTCATAAGCCTCCCTAAAAAAGAGCCTGCTTTCTCAATTCATAGGCACGATGATGGACTTCTGGAAGTTGTTGGAGTTCATGGTTCCTTCCACTGTGCTCAGATTCAGGTGAAACTAGCCAATCCTGTTCGTCTAGGGCAGGCACATACAGTGAGGGTAAGTAGCTTTTCTGAACGTGTTTCCCTAAGTCTTTTCAGCACGCAGCATACAGCTTCAGGCACTCATCTGTATGGCCTAAGGTTTCAGTCCGCAGCTGAGCTGAATGTTTCTTTACTTAGCAAAGGCTGACATGCATAATTAACAACCTCTGCTGCTGTGGTCGGTGGCCTATGAGTACAAGGAATTATGTACTAAGTTTCTCTCCTGCAAGTCTCAAACTGTGCAACATCAGTACGCTGTAGTTTAAAAAGGTATCTTCAGAGCTACACTGAGCTGCTGTGATTGTGTCTTCTTCTGTTTAACATTAGCTGATCTTGAAGAGCTCAAAGATGCCAATGCAGGTGGACGGAGAGCCGTGGGCTCAGGGGCCATGCACTGTTACCATAACTCATAAGACACACGCACTGATGTTGTATCATTCGGGTGAACAAACAGACGACGACGCATCCAGCGTGTCTGAGCAGGAGCACGTGAGAGAGCAGACAGATGAAGATGCTTAAATTCCGTGGGACGCAACAGAACGCAGTAAAGAACTTCGACCCATTGAAAACACTGAGAATGCTTGATCTAGCTTAAGGATTATGCTGTAAGGTTCATACTTGTGAATTAATTAGGGTTGAGGAAACCATGGTTTCACATTCACGAACATTTTCGCAGCTGAATTACCACAACTGTTTTGCCTTTTAGACTGGCAGTGGTACCCAGCCTCTCCAGCTGGAGAAGTTACTGTGATGGGAGGGAAGGGCCAGATGCTGCAGTTCTTCCCTGCTGTAGAATCACATCTTGTGCACATATGCAGTATTGCATGCAAAAGGTGTATACCCTTGGAAAGGAGAACCACTGGGAGTTCAGCCTGCTTGCACCTCTTCTTTTTCCCGGGGACAGTTCCATAACAGAAAACCAGAATAGGTAGAATATGAGCTGTTTTTTCTGAGGACAGCCTGCACCTGGCTGCCATCTCTTGGGAGCAGGATAAATTCTTTTTGGTGTGCCTGCTTGTGCAGTAACACATCTTATAGGTTTGACTGGGAAAGTGGAGGATGTGGGGGCTCTTGGCAAGGCACTTTGCAAGTAAGATGTTTTTGGACCAAAGGTTTCTGAGAGGGGTATGTTAGCAAATGACTCTGTTAGTGGCTTTGTAAGCCCAAGTACCCAAAACGCAGCTTGGAAATAGTTGTACCGTGATTTGCACTGAATGATCCTCTGACTGCCTGCTTCAGTTCAGTGAGAGATTAATTCTACTTTTTGTAAATAGCAATGCATTTTAGTTCTTAAGGAGGCTTGCTGGAGGAAAACTTGACAAAGGAGCTGTTCAAAATATGTATGGTATATATGGATGGTTTTAAATAATGATGGCTGGCAAACCATCATTATTAGGGTATTCAAGAGGCTTTTTAAAGGTCTTGCTTTGAATTACCTGAAAACAATTGGCAGCAAGTCCATCTGTTCACTGTTTCAATCTGAGGAGGAGGGCTAGGTTTGCGGAGGTTAGAAGGTTCAGTTGTTCACATGTTCATTGGGCTGGAGGGGGAATTAAACATTTGATTTCTGACTGGCCCTTAAGGAATCAGAGATCTCTATCAACCCTGAGTCGTCATTCCCCATGTGAGTGTAGGGCCATAGTAAGTGGCTTATACTCATATTAAAGGCTAAGTACACATACACCAGTGCTTGTACACTGTCACTTTGACATATCTGAAGCTTCTCAGGTGAAAACACCTTCACAGTTAACAGAAGTGAAAACCTGCTTCCTATTTTTCTTCTGATAGGTATTTTAAACCCGCAGCAGATGAGAGCTACGAGTTAAGATCAGGGACCTGAACTTCCAAATGTTGCTGCTTTTGTCAAATTGCCCCCATCGCTTTTCATTTTTCTTTATGCTGACTGTGAGAGACACCATTAGGTAAGGCAGGTTGTCTCTGGGTCTTGCAAGAAGAAACTGTTTTTCAACAATCTATAAAACGAAGTTTGCATTAACAGTGAATGGACTGTTTACATTTTAAAATAAGTTATTAAGCCTTGGGGAAGTTAGTATTTTTAAAACCCTTAATTGTAGTTCTATCTGGATGTTTAAATTGATAGTATTCATTCTAGGAAGTGTACGTGCTAGGTCTGGCACTACTGGTTATCTGGAAATGTGATCGGAGTAGAATGAACTGTAAGGCAGATACCATTTGAAATGTCTCATTCATCAGCCTCCCACACCTCATCTGAGTTGTTTTATAGTATGTAAATATAGAGGTCTATGTAAAAAGTATTTAAAATATGCAAAAACATGCAATGTTAGATAAACCTGTTGCCCTAACTTTTTTTGTTTTGTTACAGAGTTTCAATTTGTAGCTTCAGAAGCCTTGTAGTGGAAAGTTGTTTTTATTTGTTAACTTACAGACATGAGCATCCTATAGATATTTAAGTTCTACATTGTGCTTCTCACATAACTCTCATGTACAAACAGTTGGCTCTGGAAAAGCAGAGTATGTGCTCTGAAGGGCAGTATTTCCTCACAAGAAGTCGCACCCACTGGCTGCTTGATCTGAACTGTTCAGAGTGCAATTTGAAGAGCTCCCTGACATTGATCAGGTGATTTTTCACATTATCTTATAGCTTAAGAATCTTCAGCGGATCAAAAACTTCCTTCTTTGAACTCCCAACATCTAGAAAAATGACTTGGAAAGCTTCGCTTTTCTTTTCTTCCCTCTTTGCTGGTAGGTAAGCTGGTTTTCCACATCTGTTCTGCCTGGGCAGGTTCCAGTGATGCACACTTAGTGCACTTTGCCAGGAATCCAGTCCTGAGTGTGAAATACTCTTTGGGAAATGGAAATCTATCAGTACCTTTGCAGAAAGCAAGGAGGATGAGAATTGAAAGTAACATCTAGGTGTGCGTTTGTTGGCAGAGCCCCTGTTAAATGGTCTTGTCTGTATTGCACAGATCATTCCATTCCTGGGTGTGGGAGTAAAGAGGTTTGTTTCACGAGCTGACTGTTGGTGATTGCAGGAAGCAATAGGTGTCAAGTCTAACTGTTACAGACATGGAGAGCTTCTTGTAAATTTGCATTGATCGTGTGGAGAATATGCTGTATGTGTCCAGTTTCCAACCGGGCATGTAGTCATCCTTCTATTGCAACTGTATATAGTTGTCATATGCATGACGACAAAAGCTTTTTAAGCAGATGTTAGCACTAGGATCCATTGGGAAGTCTTGCTGCTGCTTCCTATGCTCCATCCTTTCATTTAAATGCGTCGTCTTTTCCACTGTGTTGCAAATAGAGTTGGTTATTTTGAGTTACTCTTATGGGACTGTTTAAATTTTGGTCCAAGTTCTAAAAGTGAATGTGAGCAATGGGCTCCCAGATTGTAACGCTGACATAGATTATTTTCTGTAGCCTGTAATATAGCTGTAGTTGTTTAATGTTGACTTGTGTTGTGGCTTTAAAACTGCTACATGCTTTTGTTTTAATGTTGTTGGTACAGAAAGCACTGGTACAAATAGCTGCTGTACAGATAGCTCCCTGAAAGCACTGCAAACCTCAAAATACTGCAGTACTTCATTTACCCAGAAGAGGGTATTCTGCAGCTGGGCCTCACGGCCTGCCCAGAAGGATTCTCCCTTGCCCTCTTACTGATGAGTACTGAGGAAAAATAAAGGCAAACAATGAGTAGGTTATTCTGGCAGTCTTCACACAGTGTAACCTTATGTAAAATGTGGAGAGTGAATACTAACAAAAACTGTCAAGCACTCAAAAGTGGTTGTCAGGAGTTGATTTTGAACACGCTGGCGTTACAGAAGCTTGGTCAGATTCTGTAGCATCCTTTGCTGTAGGCTCCCAGTCCTGTGAAATGCAAACAGCAAACTGAAGGAGAGCCTTCCTGTGCATGGCTTCCTGCCTGGCTCCAACCTCGTTTGTTTGTGTGCAATGTTGAGAGGAGAGTGCATGTGTGCATTTCCATATGCACAGAACTTTTTGTCTTGGGCTTCGTTGGACTTCTTTATTTATGCATTTCTCCACTTTGAGCTTTCTCTTTGATGCTTTATGCTGACTAACTTGTCAGCAAAGCACGTTGAATGGTTTCACACAGCAGCCCACCTTGTTCAGTTGCCTCAATCGCTGATTTACTCAGATAATTCCTGGAAAATATTAGAATGGGCACCTCAGGCGTAGCATTCCTGTTCTCACAGTGCAGTTTTTGCTCTCTGCTGCTGGGGACGAGTGTCCACATTTTCCACAGGTTCTCAGAACCAGGAGTTGAAGTTCTTGTTTCAGTTCCTTCTGCCTCTGCATTACATGCACTGATGCTCACAGCTTTTTTTCAGTGTATATTATCGTATCTAACTGCTTAAAGCAAACCAACTTGAAGCACTGTACCTTAGCTGTAAACAGCATAACAGTATGAATGTTACAGTACTTAGGAACGCTTTTTGGAAGAGCAGCACTGCATCATAGCTACTTAATCTGTGGGTAGGAGTAGGACACGTAGGAACCTTCACATGTTCTAGCTGAAAATCCTTTTTTGTTCTGTATTTCATACTTAGCACTACTTGCAGTTTTCTTAAAAAAGAAGCAAGATTGTACTCAGTAGGAGTAGATCAGGATATCAGATTTAGAAAGAGTAGCAGCATCAGTGATCCTGTTGAATGTGAACCACTTACTTAAAAATGCTCTGATTTTTGCTCTGAGACACTATAGCTGCACCTTGAACGCGGGGAAGAAACAACAGAGGGCATTTAGCAATTAGATGTACTGAGAGAATTTACAGGTTCTGTATTGCAGCACTGTTTAGGCCACTGTTCTAAAGGCACTGCAGAGTGCTGAATACCCAGTGCAGGTTTTGGGCATCTCAGGGACAGACTTCAGCTGGAGTAAAGCCACATGCCTCCATTAAAACTAGTAATGTTACACTGTCATGCTTTAGCTGAGGATCTGGCCTTTGCTGCTTGAAAGTATGAATGTATGTAAAATTTTACTTCTCATTAATACTACCCTGTTTACTGTGCTGTAAACTCTTATTATTGTATATAATTGTTGCACTGCTTCATTTGCCAGTTGTTTACAGGTTTCAGCATAAATCCTTTTCTCCTAGGGCTAAGTGGGAGCTCATGTTGTGAGTTTGTTGCATTCTGAGTCTTTGAAGTTTACATCCCTCAGAAGCCATTTTGTCACCTACCAATGTTGTAATCCTTGAGTACCTCCAGCCATCTTCTCTTTATAGGGTTTTTATAGTTAAACAGAATGGATTTTTATTTTTGTAGCTTGTAACTTCAACTGTATAGTAGTTATTCCTATTTAGTAATGAGTGGTCAGAATACTGTACAAACGTGACTCTGAAAAGCTGTAACTAATAATAACTACTTACAAGAAAATACCAGCATGTTAAAAGTTTAAAAAAGAAAAGTTATTCTTTAGCTTGGAACTACTGTGACTTGGAATTTGTATTGGATGTGTGTGCATATTCTGAAGTTGCTTTAAATAAGGAAAGAAAAAAAAAAACACAAAAAAACACTGAGCTTAGCATGCAAATAATAGACCAAAAGGGGAAATTGTAAACAGTTTTATCAACCAAGAAAGACATTTAGGACTGGGTGGGTTTTATGTTTCTCTTACAGAGCACTGAAACAGGAATGGTCATGAAACAGTTGTTTCCTTATGGTGCAGTTTAAGTGTCCAACCTCAACAAAAGCCATCTGCACCACTCTCTCTGCATTCCCAGGAACAGATCTCAGAGCAGAGCTGGATGCTCGTTGCTGTCAGCTGCGTGAGGTCTTACAGCATAACACTGAACCTCCAATGCAGATTCTGAAGGCGAGTGGTTATGTGGTTCTTGACTTGGCAATGCTCTTAAATGCCACATTCTCCTTTGGTGTTCGGAAGGGGGGGTAAGGAGTGGGACTGCAGCCCTCACTGCCAGCAGCTGGGCCGTCCCCACTGTGAATCTGGAGCTTTCCATGCAGCTCTGCTTTGTTTGCGATTCTCGCCTGGCTTAATCCAATGTTTCTGAAGCAGGTGATGCTGGCACTGACCTGTGGGCTAGTGCCGCGTTCACTCCAGTCATAATAAGGGTAATAATGTGTTATTTGCCCGGGTGAGGTTCTGCCTATAAAAGCTGCACCTCGTGCAGTCACAGCACGCTGTCAGGGCTGAACCCCGCCCAACAGAAGTGAAACTGAAACCCTGGTAGTCAGTGGCACTGCAGCCTGTTGTGGCTGAGCTCCCCAAAGCTCTTTGGAGGAAGGCTGGCGCCGTGCTCCTCACAGAGCCTTGCAAGTGCAGGTTTTGCAAGGGCTGGCTGCTCCTGAGCGTCCTGACGAGCTGTTGTGTTGTCCTGTTGTTCGTGCTGTATTTATCTCTGGTCTAAAGCGTGTGGATTAAAGTATTTAAACTCATTATTTTCCTGTTTCTCACTACGCACGGAAGCAAAAGGTGAGTTCTGGGAGCTGCACGGGCCTGCCGGCGAACGTGGCCGGCGCTCAGGTGCTCAGCACGGGGCACGAGGCGGGAGAGCGGCCTGCAGCCGTGCAGCGCGTCCCGTCCCGCCGGGCCGTGCAGCCGTGCTGCGGGTCGGACGTCCGCAGGGCGCAGTGCCGCTGCTCCTCGGCTATGGGAGCGCCGCGTGCCCGCGCGAGGCCGCGCTGAGCCGAGCCGAGCCGAGTGCCCCCACAGCCCGTCCCGCCATCGCCGCGCGCTGTGCTGCGTTAGGGGCGCGGCCCTCACAGCTCCGGGCGGGAACGCGGCCCGTCGTCGTGCCTTGCCAGCGCTGCGCTGATTATTCGTAAGAGGTATGACTGAAATTAACTGCGCCGAGGACGGCGGAATTGCAGAGCCCTGAGCGAAAAGCTCGACCGGCTTTAATTAGAAACGTCTTCTCGATTGATCCTTACGGACAGCGTTTAAAAATGTTAGAAACGTGGGGTTTTACCCCCGGCTCCCAGCCCTGACATGGCGCCCGCTTCGCTCCCCGCCCGCCCTGCCTTGAGGAGGCGCCGCCCGCTGCTGCTCCCTGACAGCTGCGGCTCCTGGACGCTGAAGGTCATCCGCGTTTCTTCTGAACATCCCCGCTCTTCGGTTCTCCATGGACGCGGCGGCGCACGGCTCGCCTCAGCCCGCACGGCTTTCCTTCCCTCCCCCCTTTGGTGCTCCTCACCGCGTCACAGTAAGACAGCAGTGGTTCGAACACGACAGCACCTTTATTTCTGCTTTCCGTGCTGCTCGCTTCAAGTCTGAGCATGGAAGAAAACCTTTAGAGCTCGGGTTTGCAATTAATATTTCTTGAATTAAAAAAATCAGTTCACTGAGATAACTGAAACGATCAACAACATCTAAGAGATGATAGGTGTGACAATAAAACATATTAATAATTACAGTAATTAATAAAAAACCATAAAATCAGTGTTGCTGCCATGAGAAGCACACCGAGCTGAAACTGCTGCAGCACTGAGCAGCTCGCGTTTGTGCTGAAGCGCAGGGCTGATAGCAGCACGACTGGCACATCTAGACGTGCACAAGCATTTACTAATTGTAGTACTTTACTATTACTTTTCATTGAAGAAAAATTAATACAGATGAAGGCATGCAGTGGGTAAGGATCTCACCAGTTACTCTCATTTGTACATCAGTGTGCAAATCATTTAACATTCACGGCTTTATTAAGGATTATTAGGATTCATTTTCTTTCTAGACTGATGAAGTCAGGTTCTTTAGAAAAGTGTAACTGGAATCTGTGTTTACATCTATGTTTTATTTAAAACCATTGTAGCTTTGATAGTATTACTGGCTGAGTAAAAGCACTCTAGTTTTCCTGAGCCATTATTTATCCTGCTGTAACTAAGTCAATCCTGGACATAGCAGGCAGGTTGAAACTCGATGATCATTGTGGTCCTTTTCAACCCAGGCCATTCTACAAACTAGTATTTTACTCTGTTATATCGGCCCCAATGTTTTGATAAATCCAGAGATATCTGAAATAACACCTTTCAGAAGTGTGGCAGCTGTACGTTTCTCTCTTTGTTCCAAACTAACATACCTTCATTCTACTATTCTGGTTCATTTCTGGCACAAAAGCAAACCAAAAACAAGAACCCCCTATAGTACAGTGGAAGGCTTGTTTCAGTGCTCATGGTAAACCAGAACATGTCTTACATGATACATGCTGATGTCACATTTAAAAAATCTACCATTGTCCATCGTGGCAGAATAAGAGCTCTTCTATCCTTAGCTTGAGTGTCACTCCATGCTATGGCTAAAGGAAATCCAAAGACTTAGAGGTTAATGTTGACACCCCTTTGAAACCCAAAGAGCAAGAAGATAACAGAAGAGCTGGACTCTCTCCACTGCACACGCCCCTGGAGTACCTTTTTTCCCCATAAAAAGGGGACAGGGTACTCCTCCAGCATCCCACTGGGTGAATCTGCAGCCCTATGCCATGGCTGAGCAGCTCACTGGAAAGGATTTCTCAGATGAAACTGCTCATGTCCCCACAGCTGGAGAGCTGGAAATGGAAAAGGAAAAAGAAGTTCTGACTGCACTCTTGGTTCCTAATAGGACCCATCCTCCTTCCTCACCTTTTGAAGTGTTTCAGTGCATTGGAAGGGTGGGACTCTTGAAATAGAACAACCATTCCAAAGACAGCAGTCACACTTTTAGATCCAGCATCAATTCCATACACCATTCTGGACCAAGGAATGGAAGTATCAGAATGATGCTATCCTTTGCAAAGTACTATGAGCTTTCAAACCAAGTAACCAAAGACCACAAAGTTTAAGTTCCTACAAGTTGCCCTCTAAAACTCTTTGACTAACATGAAATGTAGTCAGAGGTTCTTTTGAGCATTCTAACAGTTCCCTTTCAAACTGTCAGAAGTAGCTTTGTGGTTTTTTTCCTCAGCACATACTAAATCCCACTGGAGTCCAAGAATTCCATCATATGAGCTTCCTTGTTCTCCATGGGGAACTCCAAGACATAGAGCTAGCATAGTCAGTCCAGAGTCATCACCAAGGTACAGGCTCAATACCTCAGAGATCCAAATACCTCGATTGCCTACTGATTGTTTTAAAGCCATGATTAAGAAAAGCTGAGGTACAGATTCCTCTGCACATGATGAGGACTTCTGGAAACATACCACAACCCAAAGAAGACCAGGAGAATTAAAGATCCGTTTCAGAGGAGATGGAAATGTATTCCCTTTTGCGCTGATTTCTTGTAGGCTTCAAAGGATGCTTCTCACAAAGAGGAAACATCATTCTTTATGCACTGTGCTCCTCAAATCAGAGTCACAGTAACATATTCACCCCACAGGAAATCCAGTCTCTACCAACTAAGCAAATGAAAATATGCCAACAGAGAACATCCTGCCTTCCAAAGGGGAAAGGTTTCATGACAGGAGACTCTGCTTTGAGTGAACAGCACGTTTATGCTCCTCTGCAAACCAAACATACACTCCCTGAACTCCTCAACACACAACAGAAACTCCAAAGAGCCTTCACTGTGAGGATGTGAAGCATATTGTGCGTCAGAACACGACACAGAATGCTTCAACCCACAGACTACTTTACAGATCCACACTGCTAGACAGGATATCTTCCTGAAGATATATTCTGTGATATATTCACTGTCATTTATTTCCTGGTGATTCTGATACCATGTCTTATCCATCAGCTTCTAATGAGATCTATCGTAACGATTTTTACAACCGAGTGTCACAAGACCTGAATTTACCTCTTTCAACAGTTCCTTCCATTGCAGCCCAGTGGCAGTCACACACTGAGAACACACACTGTAAATCCTGGCCGCAGACAACAGTCTGAATATAGAGAAAAAGTTAATGCAAAACAGAGACCAGCCTCAAAGCCTGAAACACTTTTCAGGGAATCTCTCCTATTTCCTTCTCAAACAGTCATATTGCTACCTGTGAAACACAGGCCTGAAAACTGAAGATCCTTTACAACAACTGCAGAATCTACAGCAGCTACTGAACAACTCATTTGTTAATGGGTTGTATTGTAGTCTTTGCAAATCCTTTCTCTCTGCTTTTTAGTGTCATCGTTTTACTCGATCGCTACCTACAGGCTATAGCAATGCAGGCCATAGAATCATCCAACATCCTAAACTACCTAAGAGTCATTAATTTCCATGCAAAGAAAAAACAGAAAAACACCAAAACCCACAAAAACAAAAAAAAAAAACCAACCCAGAATCTTTGACACTGCTTAGACTAAGACAAATAAGTAAATATTTATGAATTCAACATATGTTTTATAGCTACAAAGATGAGATGCTGCAGGGAATGATTATCTGTATGTCAGTATCCAGGCAAACTACATGAAGGTACCAGGCCTTATGGTTTCATTTGGCAGAGAGAGAGAACAGTGCCACTGGAAAATAACCAAAAGGCAGGGTGCACAGCTTCAGTAAACTGGGCTTTGAATTTATAGATCAAGTTAAGGTTTTCCCCAACAGTCAGGAAGAGCACGAACCCTCCATCACAGTGGAGCAGCACACCGATCTTAGTAGCCCTTGTACTGGGTAAGCACTTTTCAACATCATTATGCCAGGCTGAAATTTTGGAATTAAACCACTCGATACACCAAGAACTGCTGTTCCTACCCAGGCGGCTGTCCGGGCCCTGCCGCTTCATGCTGCCGTAGCAGATGCCAATGCCACAGAAGTTGTTCTGCTGCAGTTCCACTTCCCAGTAGTGGATGCCTCTCTTGAAGCACTGGAACCCCAGCACCTGGGGACAGTCGGTGAAACGCTGAGGGTGGTGGTTGTAATTCAGCAGGATGTCTGAAACGGACATCTTGGTGTATCGCTCAGACAGAGCCACTCTGTTGTGGGCTGTGTTGAAATCCAGTGTGACATTAGCAGCATCTGCAAAGACATGAATCAACAGGAGGTAATAAAGATCAACGCACTTTTGTTTATTCACTCCCTTGTAGGCAGCAGATTTCGACATCTCTATCTCTGCTCAGCATTCCTCCGCAGCGCAGGCAGTTCTGGCTGCAGTGGTAGCTGCTGGGCTGACCTGCAGCTCTGTGTCACTGAGCAGGCAGGCAGCAGTGGGTAAGCATCCTTCCTTCCTACAGCCCCAGGGTTTCCCTCACCACCCAAACATATGCCAGCAGCAGAGGGAGACTGCTGATCTGGCAGTGAAAGGATATCACCGCCTCCGTGGGCTCACACACGGCCTGCATTTAATTCCAAAGAAAAGTACAGTGGGTTTCCTTGCATTTCTAGACTCCCCCTAATGCAGTCATCTGGGAAAAATCAAAAGATGTTACTGATAAAACTTCATTTACTCTCTGACAAATACCAGGATGCTGAAGATTAATTTGATTCATCTGGCAAAAGAATCACTTAAAATAAGTTAAACTTCCCACCTCCTAATGCT